CAAAAAAGCAGAATGTGTGCCTCCTCATGGCCTGACCCAAAACTGAGGTTGAGATATTGTAGTCGGTTTGCACACAGCAACGGAGTGAGTGGCTCATTTTATTTGGGGGGAAGGGGGAATGTTGGTCAGGGAGAAAGTCCCTGTTCTTTTTGAATAGTGAGGATGGAATGAGATGTCCTCCCGACCTGAAAGACGCTGTGTCAAATGCAAGGATTTTTATTATTATTATAAAATTAATTTGGGAAGGGGTGGGGGGGACTCTGGGGAGTAAGACTCATGCTGAAGGGCTTAATTGTAACGATGATGATAATAATCCTTGCATTTGATGTAGCGCCTTATCACGTCGTTGAGACGTCTCAAAGTGCTTCACAGAATATACTGTAAAGTGGATTAACAATACTTGGTGAGCAAAACACGGCAGCCAATTGCGCACAGCAGCGTCCCACAGGCAGTCCCGGATCGCAAAATGCCCACAAATAACTTTTTTTTAAACAAACAGAATGCTTGGGGAACAACACAGTTTTTATTACAATATAAATTGTCGTTGGGGGTAAGGAGACCTTATGCTACGGAGGAAGGAAATGAAATGAAGGAAGGAGGGAGGAAGGGAGGGGAGGGAGTGTGGTTTTATTGGTTCGAGTTTCCCGGTATCCAGCTCAGTACATTATACAGAGAATAAGGGTACCTGGGAGTAATTATGAAGCTATAACCTAATCAAAAGATTCAGATGGGCTCACAGACCACAAAATTGAACCTCTGCTGGTTTAACCATGTCATCTGAACCCTGAGATTAGATTACTGCCTTCAAATCACTCCAGGCTATCTCTTATTTTCCAATATACCCTGTTCATTTTGTTGTGTGCATGTATGTGGGGGGGAGCATATTTTTATTTAGTTTTAGGTTTTATCTGTCTCCCCGCCCCCCCCCCCCCCATTCAGCAGATGCCAATGTTCCCCCTAGAGCCGAGGGGTTAAGAACTGGGAAGAAATTATTAGATGTATCACAGCAATAATTCACAGTTGATCATCAGGAAATTATGCAGGCAGTACAGATTATATTTTTATAGTTTATTGTATAAACTGCTGCAACTATACTGTGCCTACCAGATTTAATCAGAAACTAGGTGGAAAATAAACTCAAATGAGTTTATAAAACACCTCTGGCATAAACAGTGGAAGAGTTTCCCAAGATTATTTTCTCCCCAAAAGATATAGTTTCTACACTTGAACCTGCAAAAGGTGCCTAATTAAATCCCTCCGACATTTAAAAAACACACTCAAAACACTTTGCATTTGATATAGCACCTTTCATATCAGGTATCTGAAAGCGCTTCACAGGATTTTACTGTAAATAATAATAATCCTTGCATTTGATATAACGCCTTAACAGGTCTTCGGGATGTCTCGCGCTTCACAGAGTATACTGTAAAATGTAGTGACTGTAACAACAGATGATTTACTGCAATAAATTCAGGCTCATAATCTATTAACCAAAAGACGCAGAGGGACCACATTCTTCCTGACTCGTTTGCAAATGTAGCTTTTTTTAAACTACTATTTTGCATTTTTCGACACAACACATTGCTGTTAAAAACAACGCATTGTTGAGCCTATGAATATACATACGCTGTATATAAAGATTTCATCAAGGCTATTTTTAAAACTATTGTGTTTTTGTACAGTATTTAAATTTCTTTTATTTAAAGTTTTGATGTTCATTTAGTTTCCCATGCTATGGAACGTTTATCAACAGATCTTTTTTAATAAGTGTTACATGGAAGTCAAAGAGGGTATAAAGACATGAGGAATATAAAGAGACAAATGTGTTTTTTTAAAAAAAAAGAGATTTTCAGAGAATTACAATTTTCTATTCCAGTGACTCATGATTGGAAAGAGCCTGAATAAAATAGATATCAAATACAAATACAAAGGATTATTAAATCAAAATTCATGTCAAAAAGGGTTAAGATTGCTGGAACCTTGGCTTTGCAGGTTAATTTATGTGGGAAACTTATGGCAAACTTCCCTGTATGATTTATAGTTTTGAGACTGGAATCGAAAACGTGTTTGCTTACTTTTTTTTCTTATCATGTTACAAACAGAGATTAATTAAGGTGTGGTTGTTGTCAAATGCCAAGGAAGCAAGTGATTTAAAGGGTTTGTTCAAAGCACTTCCAATAACATTATAGTTTAGTAAGTTAGCTGGTGGTGATAATAGCCTCACAAATTTGCCTGTGACTTGCCACATCCTGGCCAATTAGTGGCAATCTGTGTGTGTTGTACATAGATGGGGTGTGTGTTAATGCAGAGCTGAGTTGGGCGTTTGCTTTGCTGACTGATCTGCAAGCACTGTACTTTGCTCTCTGACATATTGAGCAAAATAGCACCTGCAGAAACAGCAGGTGGAAATGAAGAAAGAGGTGGGGAGGCAATCAATAGGCCGCTAAAGAAATGGATCAATTCAGACGCAGAGCGAGATTATTTTTCCGATATTGTAAGAGCAACAGAAAAGGTGCAATTAAAAGACCATCTCGGTGGTTGGGAGTGGGGTGGGGTGGGGGGGATATTTTTGGAGCAAACCAAAAAACCTTTTTATTGTGTGTGTGTGTATAATAAAGGATAGTTATTGTTAGGATATTAATTCAAGTTATTGATTAATCAAATTAAAAATAAATGTGTAATGTATTAATATAAATTCATTTATATTATAATATATTAACTCAAATAAATAATAAATTAACAATAGTCCTATTGTTAGATTG